AGGATGTGAAACCTCCTAATGCGACAATTTATGGCGGACGTGAACATACTAAGAAGAAGAATATTTTCCTTTCTGTTTTTGAACCAGGATAAAATCCTTAAGAATTCAACTCCAGGAAAAATTGCCTACATTTGACAAATTGAGTTGGTCCTAACAAACACAAAAAAATTTGAAAGGACGCAAATTCACTATTTTAGCGACGTTTTCATTGTTGTCGTCATTGTCATTGCTTACGCTCCCTATTATAAACTGGTCACTAGTCATAAAATACATGTATTGGTCGCCAGAAATAAGGACATTTTGTGGAATACATGTAGTACATGAAAGGTTTAAAATAATCAAAGTTGTTGTGCATGCAACATCCCAAGGCTTAATAACTGGACAGCCGGGGTAGAAGAGATGAATAGGATAATGGAGACTAAACAATATGAGATAATTAGTGATGTTACTTAAGCTTTAGAAAAACCATAAACACAACTGCACAGCTTGGCACATGAATGCCAAACGCAGGTCACCAAATTGGCAGCTTTTGCTTAAGTTTTCGTCACAATTATATTTTTTTAACTTAGCCATGGCAACCCTTTCCATGAGTCACCTTGCTGACAACTTATGCAAATTTAGCATCAAGCACTAGACTCAAACTCAAACATGTACAACAGCTACTGTCACTGTTTGAAAGCCTATTAACTCTTCTGTTTTGTTTGTTTCAGTGGGAAAACAAAGGACTGGCTTTGCTGTTTTGCATTCTTCAGTATTTAGCAATGACGTGGTATGTAAATGATATTGTCTGTCCAATAACAGCTTTCACACTGCATTGCAATTGCAGCTTTTTGTTGTTTGTTTTCACTGTGTGGCTATTGATGTCTTCTTTATTTGATGCTGTTTGTTCTTTTTCTTAGGTACTGTCTTTCCTACATTCCATTTGCAAGGTACTTCAATAAATTAATTTTCTTGTAACCATTTAATTTTCATAACTTACAGTGACTCTTTTATGGGCTGCAGTTAATGCATTTTGGAGCCAAAAAATGTTGTTTTGGAGAACAAGTACTTTTTGATAGAACTGAGTTTCATTGTTTCTGTTGACTTACCATGTGCAGAAAAAAAGATATTGTTACTAACTAGAAATATGTTAACAGGTTGTTACTTGGTAAGTATCAGCCGGCTACTCTGCTTAGCATTTCTTAACAGATGGTGATTTTGAATAAAATATCCCTGTACTGGCTGGTTACTTTGATAACTCAGCCATCTACTTCAAAGCTTTCTGACAACCTTGTGTTAATCACAATAACCAGCAAGAATATTGTTATTAAATAATTATTATTAACAGTAATGTTTGATAAAGTGGTAGGTGTTTAATTTTCTACCGAGTTTAAAGACAAGATGTAGCCACTTGATCTGAGCAAATTGCAAGTTATTTGAATGGCTTCAAACAATTTTTTGTCCATTTTTTCAACAACCCTGAGGTTTTCTGTTTATTTTGCCCAAAAAAGAAAAAATGGAGCTAGGCAAAACTCTGACATTGTATTAATGATGTTTGTTTGAAGATGAACCTCAAGCAGGTCTTGTTAAACATTTGAAATGTGTTACTTCCAAAACGTTTGGTGCTTGTTTTCTATTAGTGGCTATCAGTGTCTATCCTACAAGCAGAGGTCCTTTGATCTTCCTAGTCAAGCCGACTTATCTAGGAAATCTAAGTACCTCTACTGGAAGGGTAATCAGTGGCTGATTCCCAGCTGTCACGCACTCCAAAGAGAAACCCTCTCAATTACTGGACTGGTGTTTCCTAGGTCTTATCATAACCATGTCTCATCCTTTTAATCCTTTAATCCCTAAGAGTGATCAGCATTAAATTTCTCCTTGTAATATCAATGCTTTGTAGAGCAGAGTGGTTATGAGAATTACAGACATGATCACACAAGATGAATTTTCTTGATATTTTATCAACTTCTCCCCACTACTTCATTAGGAAATGAATAGGAGCAACAAAATATTAATGAGAATTCAAATTTTGATCTTAGGGTTTAAAGGTTAATCACTTCTTTTTTCTTCAGGGATGCTGTGAAAAAGTGTGTCACGAGTTGCCTTGCATGAGTTAGCCAACTTCATTGAGCTGAGGTGCACAGATAAATATAAAATATTAACTATAATAATATTCACCTCAGTTGAGGTGTGTAATTAAATAAGAGGGCGTGTGCAGAAAAACGTCTTATATGACTCCTCATGTGATGTTTAATTCTCCTGTTGTTTCACGACAGTCTTTCAGAAGTCACTTGGGGCTATTTTGCAGGCACACGTCCATTATTTTCAGTGTAAATCATGCAATTGAATAGCCAGGTTAAATTTTGTTTTATCCTTCGTCAAACATGTGAAATAGTTATGACCTGTTATGTTCAGGCACCTCCAAGTAAGCTAATCAGAGTGCAAATATAAGACAGTGTTCTCAGCAGTGGAGGATCCATGGGGAGGGGAGGGGAGGGTTCCCCCCCGGGGGAATCCCATATGAAAGAGATAAGGATGCTTGTGGAAAACTTAGAGTTAAACCCCCTAACGAGACCTATCAGGGAGTAGCTCCAGCTTTATTTCTTTACTAAAGGAGGCCATACACTGCACCTTAACACAGTATGACGGTATTTTACCTATATTTATATACATGGTATTTTTACGCACACAACCGTAAGTAATACGTCGTTGTTAAAAGTTTGGCTTTCTGTCCAGAATACCCTACTTGAGACCAGCCATCTTGCTTAGGGTTGATTGCAGACCTTAGGATCTTTGTCACTTTCATATAGCAGTACTCCCCCCCCCTCCCTGGCTGACCTCCCTTAATGTTAATAAAGCTATTAGATTATGGGTGTATAGTTTTTACTAATAAAAAGGGCTGTCATTAAGCGCCAGGGACCGGGGACTCCCTCCAAATAGTATGACAATGATCCCTAGCAACTTTTGTAGGAAAATTGAAGAAAAAATAATAGAACCAAAAGAAATCTCTACCTGTCTGATACCTCGCCAACTTGTCATTTTTGCCCGCTAACTTGGAAAACTTAGTGACTGCCCTTAATTAAGACCAAGCACAGTGAAACTGAGACTGCTGCCACGGAACAAAATGCATACAATATGTATGTGGTAGTAATAAAATGGATTCGAAAAGCACAATCTCTTAGCCATAAATTATGTCACTAAATCATGTGCACATTCAAAGTTGCATGTCAGAAGGTGACTAGAAAACGTAACGAGCAGTGAGGAAGAGAAGACGTTTTAGCCACTGTTTTCAAAATGTCTGCATCTGCCCTTGCCGTTCAATTGTGTGGTGTTTAATTACTGTGATTTATAAGTGGATTTCAGTCATTGTAGTCTTAATNCTTGTCATTTTTGCCCGCTAACTTGGAAAACTTAGTGACTGCCCTTAATTAAGACCAAGCACAGTGAAACTGAGACTGCTGCCACGGAACAAAATGCATACAATATGTATGTGGTAGTAATAAAATGGATTCGAAAAGCACAATCTCTTAGCCATAAATTATGTCACTAAATCATGTGCACATTCAAAGTTGCATGTCAGAAGGTGACTAGAAAACGTAACGAGCAGTGAGGAAGAGAAGACGTTTTAGCCACTGTTTTCAAAATGTCTGCATCTGCCCTTGCCGTTCAATTGTGTGGTGTTTAATTACTGTGATTTATAAGTGGATTTCAGTCATTGTAGTCTTAATGTTTTTTTACTCTACTAATCACTGATTAGCGACTTTTAGACGAAATTACTTGTTTGTGTCAGACCAGCAGTGTTAAACTGTTTATCAGGTTTTTTTTCCATGATCAAATGATGGTTACATGTATATGAATTTCTCAAATTTAGAGCGCGGAATGAAAAAATAAATGAAGAAACCATCGCAGTTTAAGACGCACCTTATGCGGTTGCAGCTATGATCTTCTCTTTATTTATTACATTCCATGATGGTCACAGCTGAAATCTACCCATTTTGAACACCATACAAGACATCAGATTAATTTGCATCATAATTTATTTCATATAATAATTATTCAATGTCGTTAACGTGTACTCTTACATTAATAATGATAATGAAGCAGTTTTGTACGTATGTTAGACTTCCAGTGTGACTGTAAGAGGAGAATATGTTAAGAAAAGAGAATTTGATAACAAATTAAGACCATTGTAACATTTGATGTTAAATAAGTGTGGCTGAGTTAAAGATGTTGGCATTAGTTGTAAAATCAAAATGTTTAAAAAGCGCCATGAGACAAATAATTCAAGATTGTCCCTAGAAAATAGGGATTGCGCATGGATTGTTTTAGTCAAGATTACATTGTGACAATAACATTTGACGATAACATTTGTCTCGAAACAAAGTGCTGAAAGTGTTTGTGGATTATGTGCTCCTATTTCCCCACCCCACCCTCACACATATCTCTGGATCGTCCTTTTAAAATAGTAATCACAGTATAAAAAAATTGATCCTTAGAAAAAAATAAAAAAATAATCAGATGATATTCAATTCATATTAAATAAACTTTCAGTCAACTGCAGATCTGCAGTTGTTGTACATTCGAGTATAATTTGCATAACAAAAAATGCTAAGAAACTGTCAGCAGAGTAAAGGAACATGTGACTTGTTTGATTGCAGTTGCTTCATTATTTTAAAAGCGATGATGGATTTTTTCAAAATGCTACAACTATTTGCTCCTTTTATATTTCATTATGGTGTAGCAAATCTCAATAAAGC